AAGCGAAGTTTGAACAATCTTAAGAAAAATTAGCCCAGTTTGAAACAAACTAAAGTTATATGGTTTGTTTCAAGATATGAGCAACGGAAAGTGATTGATATCTTATAGAGATTGTACATTAACTGCTAGCACTGTTTTTCTTCGCAGCCAAACATAAACAGCAAGAAGCAAGAGTAGCCTCACATTACACACAGGGAGATAGTAAACTTAAAACTATTGCTTCAAAAAAAATTATAATAAAAAACTGAATCTGTAAAAACAAATGAAGATTGTAAAAACCAATTCCTTGAAGAATGGTTAAATATTTATTAATTAAAATTGAAAAGATAGAATAACTATTGAGAAAGCTGTTGACAGATTAGTCAACTTATGGAACTCACTATCACTTTGAACAATAATTTGTTTCTCCCTGGTAATCGAAGACTGCTATTGTTCCTATCTCGTAATAGATGTAAAGCTGCCCTTAAACCTGGAACTGAAGTTTTTTTTCCCAGTTATACCTTATTGCCTGGTAATTTTCTTACACACGTGCTATATGCAAGAACATGATAAAAAAAATATCAGGGCGGAATATATAATAGAATGTTTCAGGCTTGCAAATAATTTATTTACACCTGATATCATAACTACCAATTCCTCTTGAGCAAAATAAATATTTACAATCATATTTCACCAATAGACAATCAGATGCTGTGACCAAATGTAAGTATTCAGGAATATACTGAGATTTTTGAGCTGGGTAATAGAATGTTATGAACTAAGAATGAAACAACAGTAATTTTATGTTCATTTTTTAAAAGATAGAGAACTTCAGAGTAGCAGCAGAGCCCCTGAAACAGAGAAGTGGGTTCATATATATTCTGATTAGTTCTTTAATAAAATTGCTAGGAATGGGAAATTAGTTTTGAGTAAACAATAGCTCTGTTCTATAAAGGAAAAGAAGTTAAAGCTCTGTATGCTTTTCAGCTCAGAAAAAAAGAGGTTCAAGAATGATTCAACCATAATGTGTTCCCAATATTCCTCCAAATGTATTATGGTATAATTCCCATCATTACAGCCAGTTTGATTGGGAGTTATAATACTTGCAGTATAATGCATTAGAAAGGCTGGTTGGGGAAGAGTGATTGGAACAAATATGTTACCATGAAGTTCTATGTCAGATTTCTAGCTAATATGAAAGGCATATATATGGTTATAAAAGTGTACATAACAGGACTATAACTTGTTCATGAATTATGTTTCTCAAATTCATTATTATAGAAGGAAACACAAATTTAATATAGAACTAAATAGTCTGAGTAAATCCCACTGACTGAAATATAGTTAAGCATATTCAACAAATCTTCAGAAACACAATGATGCTCATGCATAATTGTATAAGTATTTTAAATTATGATTTAACTTGAAAGAAATTCTTTTACTAAGTTGGTGATACTAATGTAATGCAGCTATTTTTATAACATGCACTGCTAGGTTTTTATTTTTAATGATATATCTCGTTTGTGTTTTGTTTTTGATTAGAGAGTTATATTTATTTTAATGCCTAAAATCTGACATCATGAAATATAGTATTGAACTATTTTAATTACATAAATTTTCAATGGGGCTAATTGTTTTAATTTCTCTATAAAATATATGGGCACATTTTTCACACTCAACTTCAATGTCATTATTCTCAGTTTAGACTTTCAAATCCAAAGTCCTTTAGTTCAATTTGCTATTTAATCTTATGTTATATTGCTACACTATCACACACTTTATATAAATCGTCCTAAACAAACCATGTCAATCAGCAAGCCAGGCAATTGATTTTGCTGACTCAATGCAGTACAATAGCAGTTATTTTTTCCTCTCCATATGTGGGACTACAATTGCCATCTGCTAACCATTTAAGGCAGTAGTGAGGTTTACTTCATGTAGATGTATGTAGGACTGTGCAGTGTTATGACTAAGAAGTATATTTAACTACATAATCTATAAGCATGACCCATAATGCTAGATAAGTCAATGATTAAGATTTGTCTATACATATTTGTCAAGTGATAGTATAGTGAGGATGACCAATTCCATCTGATATTCCTTTATGTTGATTCTAAATTACGTAATAAAATTTAGCAACTTTGGTGGGAGATTGTTTTCTTGATCAGCTAGTCCATCATAAGAAAACAGGGCAGTATAAGATATTTTCAAAGAGGAAACTATAATTTTGTACGTATTATCTCAGTGGAAACAAAAAAATAAATGAAAAATAAGAGATTATGATGAGGTGTTCCTATTACTGTAAAATGTTCAAAAAGCACTGATTAAGATGTATACTGCCATTTATATATCAAAGTCTAGGCAGGTGGGAAAGAGCTGCTCATGTGCTCCCTCTCCACCCAAAATATTTATGGCACATTTGGGCCCTAAGCTCCCCTTGTCTAAGGTCCTGGTATTTTTTTTTATCTATATTGCTTTTGTAAGAGTCCATGAAGCATTACAAAATTATAAGCCAAGGCTTTCTTGCACCAATAGAAGCAAACCTATATGATATATGTTTGCTAACTGTGGAAGTTCCATATTTTTGTACATATTTGAAATACAACTATGTGTGAGTTTATTCTACAATCTTTTTGTTTATTTGATTTATATGGCTACCAATCTCACTTTTATGTGACTTTAGGCAGCTTACAATAAAACAAAATGCATAAAATATACAATATAAAAAAATCAAAAATAGAACACCTAGTAGCTCGGCATAATTTAACCCAATGGTCTCCAACCTTTTGGACACCAGAGACCTGCTCTGTGGAGAGACTGGAAGGGACATGGTTTTGTGTGCTGCCTGCATCTTGTGAATGGGGTTTTACTTGTTTGCACAGCCTGGTTTCTGACATAGACATCATCCACACAACCAAGAGATGGGCTCTAACCCATGACCTGGTCCACAAAGTCAAGTTTTTAGGCCTTATAAACAGGCCCAGAACAAGTCTTGGGGAATGATATTCCAAAGGGCATGTGCATGGAACATTGTAAGCCAACATTCCCTAGTCAACAATGCCCATAAAGCATGTCCTAAGCCAGATTGAGTAAGGCAGGTAGGAGCAACTGGGGAGAGAACAGTTCTTTGAACAATATACAAACATTAACCACGATGCTGAGAAATTTACATTTTTACCATTCCAAAACATCAAAAAAGTTTGTCCTAAAAGCTTAATTAACATTTTGTTTAGATTGGGACTCGCACATGTACAATCAAGTGTACATGTGAAGATAACCTCTCAGTTTAGGTGAACAGTGGATCAGGTAAAGGCAAATATCTGCATATCTGAAATATGTAATATCTACCAACACTACCGGGTTTTGACAAAACTGGGAAATTCAATGTTAAAAAATTGCCAGAAGTTCATATAATAAGATCCAAGAAGTTCATCAGCAGAATGGAAGCCAATCCAAATTTCCTGGACTTTGGCATCAAAATCCAGCAAGCAGGACTTGTGACCCCACACAAAATTTTGGCAAGTGGGAGAAACTGACTTGTAAAATAGGACTGCAGTTTGATTTACTTCTGAACAAAAATAAACTAGCTGGCAAATCTTATTTTCCTTGTAGATAATATTAGAAGGAAGGCAACAATTAACTCATGATTAACAAAAGAAAAGAAAAATCCTAGCATGTATGTACATCCTGCACCTGGAAAAGCCAGAACAGATAACTAAAATTGGTGGTGATTTAATTCTATTCTGGAAACGTCAGTTGTATTATCCTTTTAGTTATCTGTTCTGGCTTTTCCAGGTGCAGGATGTACAAACATGCTAGGATTTTTCTTTTCTTTTGTTAATCATGAGTTATCCCAGGCTTTTTAAACCGTGCTTCGCTGCATTCAAACATGCCAAGACCTAGCCCAGCCCACCCTTCATCCAAATGATTGCCACAGACTTCTCCAACGTGGAGATTTCCAGAGGTATTGGACTTCCAAGGAGACGCAGACTCCAGGGCAAGTCGGCTGAGGGCCTGGGCGACCTTCCGGCAAGGCAAAAGGCACAAAAGGGGGCAGGGTCCCTCAGGCCGGCTGGGGAGGGAAAAAGCGCGCGCTCTCGGCTGGCTTAACCCAGTTCCATTTCCAAGGCAAGAAGGAGCCGGGAGAGGGAGGGCAGGGAGGAGCTCCCTGCCCACCCTTCTCTCCCGCCTTTCGTTCCCCGCGTTGAGCAGCGCGAGTACACACACTACGTGACTGGAGACGCATCCCTCCCTCCGGCCAGCTTGTTCTGCTCTCGCTCCGTCAGTACAAAACAACTGTTATCCAAGCTTTATTTACTCCTGCCCGAGCCAGCAGGCCTTGCGCTCTCCTCGTCTCTCCCCCCCCCCGCCTCTGCCTCGCTGGAGCGCTGCCTGCCGCCTTTCTCCCCCACCCGCCCCCTCCGCAGAACAAAGGAATGCGAGGCGCCGAGGCAGCGCCCTCCAGCCAGCCCCTTCCAGCGCGCGCGCTTCTCGCCCAGTCATAACAACCAACGCCTTAAGGGCTGCTGCGAGTCCTCCGGCTCGCCCACCAGTCGCCGCGGCCGCCGTCGCCGTCGCCGCCCTCCGCCCCGGGGGCGCGAGAGCCACGCTCACCCGGGCGCCCATTCCGGCACCCAGGAAGAGAGGCCCCAGTCCGGCGCCGCCTCGCTCCTCCTTTCCTCACTAGCCCGCATGGCAAAGGCCAGAGCGGGCTAGTGAACGGCCCCCAGAGCAGCCTCGCTTTTAAAACCCGGGAGAAAGCTGGGAATGTCGGCAACGCCCCCTCCTCCTCAACTCTCTCGCGCGCTAAGAAGAGCCAGCAGGAAACATTTAAAAAAAAAAGATGTTCAAATTTGATTCCACGCCCTCCCTCGGAACCGTTTAAGGGTTTCTTAAGGAACGGGCCGTTTTTTAAATGTAATTGCTGCAAAAAAAAAAAAAAAAAACAACAGTCGGGAGCCTTCCCCCTTGGCCAAGGAAAAAAAAAAACTAGAGGGAGATTTTCTGCGAGAGCATCTTACGTTGCGGTTGCACGGCGGGCTTCTGACCAAGTGACATAGATGATCGCAGCAGGCTGAAGCTAACGGCTGCCCCCTCGTCTCCCATGTCAGCACGGTCTCGTTTCTTCAATACAAGCTGCAGGGGGGGGCAATGAGATACGAGACATTCACTTTTCCCGAAACGCGTAATGATCTCCTAATAGGTCTGTTTTTGCCGGGGTGGTGGTGGTGGCGGCGGCGGGGGAGGGGTGGAAGATCATGCACGAAAGCTGACACCTACCAAAACCACTTGATGTCTGTGCGAGATGCCTTCCTAAAAATACCAGTCTTATCAGAACGTCTCCGAAGGCGTGGAGTTCAAAACGCGAGCAAACGTCCTTGAACGCCTATTTGCACAGCTCCGGAGAAAAAACCAGAAATAGCCCAGGAAGCTACAATTGCTTCAGTGTGATGGAGCTAAATATAGTCGTGCGCAATTCTCATTTTTTAAGGGACGTGGCACATATTCAACAAGCCGAGTTGTCGCTCCATTTAACCACCGATCTACTTTTCCAAAGGGGCGAGGCGGGACTTGGGGGGGTGGGGTGGGATGGGATGGGGTGGGGTAAGGAATTTGGACATCTCTTAGTCTAACGCCTTCTTTAAAAAAAACACACAAAAAAAACTCGGGAGTGAATTGTTGTAGTTTCTTCACGGGAAGATTTATAAAAATCACGTAATTAACTTCCCAGCCTCACTGCCAGCAAATTTGGTGGTTACATAATGCAACGTTTCCAGGAACGATCAAAGAAACGCATTGCCTGAAAACCGGTTGCCAATAGAGAGCAAACGGCAGCAGCCAATACACACACACACAAGCTTTAAAAAAAAAGAACCGCTTGGAAGAGAGGCGATTTGTTACGTGTGTATTCCTTTTGTAGTTGTTTTAAAAGTGAATTCTGGAACGTAAGGCTTTTTCTTTTAAAGGGTTCTCGAGGACCACAGTGGACACCTACTTGAAAGTTTCTGTATCATTTCTTACACACGTTTTCTGTAAAATATCCTGAAGAGATGAAATGTGTAACGAGAGACAGAATTCCACAGCGCTAAGCGAAAATTCTCCGAGCACTGCACGTTCTCGTCCCCTCGCTTGCCAATAGTTCACCATGGACGGATTATGCAATGTATGAAATAACAAGTCGCACCAACCTCCCCCCTTTGGCTGTTAAGACATTCATACAGCTAAAACGTGAGCCTAGAAAAGAAGTCCAAAAAAACAGAGGCAGCTTTTTCAGTTTTTCATATCAGCGCCTCCCCATCCCCGATATCGCCGAATAGCAGCTCATTCGCGTTCAATTCTTTCACTAACCCTCTTCAAACAAGAAGCCTTCTCCAGTTCTGCCGGGATTGCTCAGTATCAACCGGCCTCAAGCTTGCCTAACGTCTTCGCTCCTCCAAACCACCAATTTATCTCACACAAGAGCTACGTTACGCAACAACAAGACCGCCACAGAGAAAGAAAAAAGAGAAAAAGCCCCACGGGCCAGAAAGCCACGCTCCAGGGTCGGAGACCCGTGAACCCAGGGGCGCCTGCAAGCATCTTAAGGTGGCGAAGTCCCGCGCTGGCATGCCAAAGGCTGTAAAANTAGATAGATAGATAGATAGATAGATAGATAGATAGATAGATAGATAGATAGATAGATAGATAGATAGATAGATAGATAGATAGATAGATAGATAGATACCTGCACATCTATATTTTAGCGGTCTCCTTTAACGCGGTGGGACAGGCTGTCCGTCACCCCAGAAGCTCCTTCTGGCATCTGACCGCGTTCTTCAGAAGTTGCCACTTTGGGGGGCGAGCGGGCTGACTCGGTGCCCAGGCGTGAGGAGCTGGAAAGGCTCAGGGGAGATCTTCTGGAAGACCCCTGATCAATGGGAGCGCCGCTGCCTCTGCTGGAAGCAGTCAGAAGCAGTTCGCGGGTGAGGAGGAGGAGGGGGAGGAGGAGGAGGAGGGAGCGAGTACGTCAGGGAGCGGTAACTGGGTCTTCTTGCCGACTCTGCGAACGCCGCCGCCGCCGCCGCTTGCTAGAGAGAGATCTGTGTTAGTAGGTCAATACTGTACGCTCTTCACAACGTACAATTCTCCTGCCAGCCTTTGCAAAATGACGGGCGGTTGCGCGGTGCCAATCAGAGCTCGGCGCTTCTCGGGGAGCAGCCAATGGAGGCCTCCCGCAGGGAAGCGACAAGGGCGGGACCAGACTTGAATCGAGCCCCGCTCCCCCGCCTTCCCTCCCCTCCCCTCCCTTTTACACTTTCTCCGCCCTGTTGGAGCGGTGTGTGGGGTACAGTAAGATGTATGCGCTGGATATTGCATAACTTGGCGGAGCGGAGGGGGGGGGCGAAGGAGGAAGAAAGGGAAGGCAGCTGACATTGACGTAATTGCCCAATGGTGAGCCAGAGAGAGAGAGACCGGGGCCGAAGGGGAGAGTCAGCCTCCCTCTTTCTTTTCCCTGCTCCCAGATTGTTCAAAAACACGCCGGGCGATGTGTAGTCATATTGTAGACCTGACATCACAGGGGAGCGAAGCGGGGGGGGGGGGGAAGGGAGGATAGGAACGGGAGCTGAAAATATCCCAAGCGGCCGCTCCAGCCTCTCTGGTCTCACTCCCGCCTCCAAATACGGGCGGAGAACCATACACGCCTTCATCTGCTACATGAACCGCTTGCAATGGGCAGTCGCCGAGCGTGGGTATGGCGGTCGAGGCAGCCTGGGGTGTGTTGTCTTTCGTGCAAGAGAACCTGCTCGGTTTTGCATCGTGGGGAGGAAAAGTTTGCCTCGAACAGGGATCGATCAAACAAGCTTGAGGCGGGAGCTCCTGGGTCGTTTTTTTCCTTCCCGTCGGCCCTGACAGCAGAAATAAAATGATCATTAACGTTATCGTTATGATTGCAAAAGTTGCTCGCTATCTCGAATGATAACCTGATTCAACACTTAAATGAGACGGGTTGTATATTCTGTGTCCGCTAAGTAGATCTTTTAATGCTGCTTTGGAAAATGGTATCGCCTGCCTTTCTCGATTAACCTGCCACCCGGTCAGGATGTCAGTGTAATCAATACTCCTCCATTGAATTATATTCACTTTGGTAACCAAACAAGGCCCTTCTGAAGACAGATTGGCTCATTATACTGCAGGGCTAGTAACTTCATTTAGTTGAACCTCCAGGACGCAGCCTTCTGCTACTTTGACTTGCAATTTTTTCATTTCTCTCAATTTAGAAATTATATTCTTAAATCACATTTTCAGCTGGCAAATCAATTCATACTGCTAATTTTAACATTTTTATTTCTTCCTTTAAAAAGGGCAAATGCATTTCCAGGAATGCTTCATTACAGGTGAATAATTCTTGTACTTTGTTTTTGCTGTTTGCTCGACTTACAGTATTCTCTGTAGTCTTAGTACAATAGATATCAAGAGACAGAGTTCTTTCTGATGATCTTTGCATCAAAATCTTAGTGATATATGTATATATATATATATGTATATGTATATGTATATGTATATATATTGGTTCAGTAAACACTTTTGCTGCTGGATTATGTTAGTAATCTGGATATAGTTTTATGAATATATTATATACTTCCAGTGCATGGCTGATTTTGCAACTTTGCGTAGTTCAAAAAATCTTGTGGCAACAGTTGACTAATAAAATTAAGCTGTAACCATACACTGTTCTTCATTTTGTAGAATCAGACTAGCAAGGGTGAAGGCTTCCCAAACTCCTTGAAAATCAGTGACTATTTGGCATTGTTGAGCAAGGTTTTTAAAATAATTGTAAAATAGTGTTGCCCTCTTTCTTATGAAATAAGAATTTGTGTTCTAAGCAATTCATTTTGCAAAAACAAAAATGAAAAGTCCTTATTATATAAGCAGTTTAAAGTTGCTTTTACAGCACTCTGTAGTTTTCCTCTGAAATTGCTATCTTTATACAGAATCCAGATAACAAAATTGTTTTGCTGTTGGTCTTATGGCTTTTAAAAATCTGATCTGTATCTTTATGTATGAATGTAAGTATCGTTTTATGCAGTTGTAATACCACTTGGTGCAGGTTAGAAAAGCAAAGTATATTGAAGCTTTTCAGGATTCCTGCACTAATAAGTAAAATCTTCCTGCTTGAAAACTCAGAATTTTGGTATTGTTTAGAGCAATGGTTCTTGACCTTACAACTTTAAGATGTGTGGGCTTCAACTCCCCAAATATATTTCTTTATTTTAGAAATGTATACAACCATTCAGTTGACACACAGTGAACCTGCACATCTTACAATACAACAAATCCACAATACAAAACCCATAAAACACTATTTCACCCCATGATGATGGATGATCTTATCCAGCAGTTTCATGTAGATGTTAAACAGGAGCAGAGAAAGCACTGACCTCTGTAGGACCCTTGATCTGACCTCTCACTACCAATCAACATGAACTGAAAATGGTCTCAGAGGAAGGAAGTGAAGCAGGAGTGCACCCTCTTCCAACCACTGGAGTTGCTCAAGAAGGATTCCATGGTTGATGTTATTGAAAGTCGCTGAGAGGTCAAGAAAATTGAGAATGGATGCACTACCCCTGTAATGCTACTGCCAGATATTAATATCATGGTCTCTTTCATCATTCTCAGTTCTTCTGTATACCATGGGTAAAGACACTGCTGGGGCACAATCCTATCTAAAATCATCAGGATCCATCAATCACCAGGGGCAGATTGATCTAATAGGTGCAGAGAAGAGCAACAAAGATGATTAGGGGACTGGAGGCTAAAACATATAAAGAACAGTTGCAGGAATTGGGTGTGTCTAGTTTAATGAAAAGGACTAGGGGTGACATGATAGCAGTGTTCCAATATCTAAGGGGTTGCCATAGACAAAAGGGGGTCAACTTGTTCTCGAAAACATCTGAAGGCAGGATAAGAAGCAATGGATGGAAACTAATCAAGGAGAGAAACAACCTAGAACTAAGGAAAGATTTCCTAACAGTGAGAACAATTAATCAGTGGAACAACTTGTCTCTAGAAGTTGTTAATGCTCCAACACAGAAAGTTTTAAAGAAGAGATTGGACAACCATTTGTCTAAAATAGTCCCTTCCAACTCTATCATTCTGTTATTCTGGTAATATATCTCGCCTCCCTGTGAGGGATATAGTCCAGGAGAAGCTCATAGCTGTCAGTTCATGATCATGACAGAAGGATCAAGGATAGACTGACCATTTCCAGTCAGATATATTTCTGAAAGAGACTGCATCCCAGCCCCAGTCACACATGGATGATAAGTGTCAGATCAGGGTGACTGGGGAATTCTGGGAGTTGAAGTGCACACATTTTAAAGTTGCCAAGATTGAGAAACACTAGTTTAGAGGGTGAGGGACAAGATAAGATGCCTGCTGAATAGCTCCTATGTGCTCATAGAAAAACTTTGATCGTTACAGCAAAGGGAGGGGGTCTCTGATGAGTATTTTCCTTTATTTTTTCCTGTTACATAAAATCAGGAAATGCCTATGTGGAAATACCATTTTAATTTTCACTTCCAAAACCGAGTACTACTTGTACTTTAATGGACATTTACCAAAAGTGAACCAAAAGAAACTATAGTTACATTATAACTGAGACCAATGAATATGAGGCAATGTTTACTGGCGCTGCTGACTGTGAAGAAACATCAAATATTGTGCAATAACCGCATAGAATGCAAAAGGAAAATGTGTTTGTTTTGTTGCAATCTCTCACTTTCTCTGAAATTATAAATTTCCTATTTACTGTAGTTAAAAATATATACACATTAAAGCAAAATTAATTAGTTTTTTTATTTTTCTATGTTGGTAATGCGATGTCTGGCTCACAAATGTGGCATCAAAAAATTATTTTCCAGACCTCTTTTTTGTTTCTTACTGACTCTTCTAAGCATTTCCCAAGATATGAGTATTCAAATCAAATATAAGTCATATGGGGAGCATCCTCAAACATGTTGGGCCAGTGTTTCCACATTCTTCCTCCCCCCCCCCCATCTTCACCTTTGAGTTGAGCCTGGGAGGAAGCATGTTTTGGGCTAATATTCAGTATGCACCATCAGAGTTATGCAATTATGAATAACAAGGCTTTCTTAGAAACCTGAAAGTACACATGCATCTACTGAACGTTTTTTTTTAAATAAAGGAACCTTAAATGGTCTGCATTATTTCCCAGATAACTGCTGTTATAGCATTACACTTGTGGCTTGAATACATCCACTAGAAACATCAAATATAAAGCTTATCTGATCTTTCAAAGTCCCCTTTCATTTCCTATAATTGCAGCATGAGGCAATGAAGTGTGATGGTTATTTGTATTATAAACACAGTGGATACTATAACACATACCGTACATTGATATGCGACTACAGAGCAACTATTAGATGTGAAGAAGTCAGCACAGCAGTGAATCCAAAACATTAGTAAAGCCTGTGTTCCAGTCTAAAAAAACAAATTTGCAAAGTACAATTGATTCTCAATAACAATTAATCAATATCCAGTTTGCACTCAAAGCTCTTCTCCAGAACATTTTTTTTCCTTGCTATATACTTTGCATCTCATCCTTTTTTCCTCTACCTTCTTTCTGAAATCCTGGCATGCTGAATGTGCCGTGATTAATAAACTTACTAGGCTGCTTACAAAATTACCCTTCAGATATTTATGTCAATTGACATCATGAAGTGATCAAGAGAAAGAGATGGTCAGATAGAAGCAATTATGTATGTGCTCTGCGGAGGCCCACTTCATACTGTTTATATGACAAACAAGAGCAAACAAACAAATGAGATACATTCAGTTCCAGATAACTGAGGCTCCAAACCTTAAATATAGTAAACATACAGATATTTAAATAATAGAAGAAAAACAAAGTATAGCTGTATCCTGTAATCCTGCTGGTAATTTGGAACTCTCCAAGCATTTATGTACA